AAACACACAACACACAACCAACACACATTCACAGGCACACACACACACACACACACACACCGGTGGAACCCTGCCCTCCTCGGTTTTGTGATTCAGCCCAGGAGGACCCATATGCTGAGAAGGCGCTAAAGGGACGAAAGAAGTCGGATTTTCTCCCAAAGTTCCTTCTCCGGGTTTCCTTTTTTTCCAAAGAAGGGGGGGGGGGGGGGGGGGGGCAGGCTCGCAGGGAGAGGAGCCACGTAGACCGTGAGGGCGCTCCGTCCGCTGTGGCTCAGTGAAGCGATGAGCACTGTGCTCAGGAGCCGTGTGTCCCGGGTGCTGCACGGGGCGCGCTCACACGAAGCAGCGTATGTCGGTGGTGTGTGTTCCAAAGTAAATCCTTAAAACTGACGTTGTTTAGCGTCCAGTGTAACGGGCCCTGCAGGTTTGTTTCCGGCACCAAGTCCCTGTGAGCAGAGAGGAGAAACCCCACACACGGAGCGCACGGCTGTTCTGGTTTCTTGTTGATTCCGTAACAGAAGCTACGAGCATTTACATGCACCTACGATTCAGTGAGAAGGTGCCGTCGCTCCTGCTCTGAAAGCATCTTGGAAGGTCCATGTTTGCAGGAAGCTCACTGGACCTCAGCTCTGAGGACTGTTCGCTGGTCGGGATGGTTACTCAGTTCTTAGCTTGACTTCGAGTGTGGGAATCGGTTTCATTTTATTCGTTGATTTCATTGGGGAGGACGTGCACCAAAGAAGCACCTGGAAAGGGAAGGCTGGCCCAGCAGCCCTGGGGGGCACGTTCTCCACCCGCACTACCAACGAAAGGTCACCGGGCCGGTCTGGCTCCGTGGATAGGGTGTCCGCCTCCGAGTGAAGGGTCTCGGGTTCGATTCCAGTCAAGGGCACATGCCTGGGTTGCAGGCTCCATCCCCGGGAGGAACCGGTCAATGTGTCTCTCTCACATGGATGTTTCTCTCTCTCTGTCTCTCTCCCTCCCTTCCACTCTCTCTAAAAAATTCAATGGAAAAATATCCTCGGAGTAACAAGCAAACAAAAAAATAAACGTGTTAATTTAAAAAAAAAAAAAAGGTCCATAGGGAAAAAAATTGATCTCTGCTCATCTTCCCACCAAGTTTTCATTTTCTCAACCAGCGTGAATACGAGTTTATAGATGCCATGATCGAAGCAGATTAACGATGGTTTCTAAAAGTTACTGGGAATCAATCTGATTTTCAGGATGGTAATGATAGGTACTGTGATTTCTAAATATTTTGAGGTTATGGGGGATTTATAAAATACTTTATAATGGGTAATAATTTAATGAAAAGTTCAACACAATACAAACTTCATATATATATATATATGTATATATATATATACATATATATATATTTGTGTGTGTTCATTCTTCATAGAAACAATTATAATTTTGTGAATAATTTTTCATTTATAGTTTGCAAGACATATCAAGAAATCTGAAGGCCAGAAAATTCCGAAAGTTGAGTTGCAAATATCAATTTATGGAGTAAAAATCCTAGAACCCAAAACCAAGGTAAGGCTCATTTTTGAATGTCAGACCCTCTCGAATCTTTCCTTGTGATTAGATCCTGTTTTAATAGATACGTGATGTTTGTTACCGGTTGGAACTGATGGGTTCCCAGTTGACGACCACTTACTCCCTGGGGTTCTGCGGGGGAGCGTTGGGCCTGCGCTCTGGCGGCCTGTGCCTGTCTGTGTGAGCTGCTCTGGGCCCTGCTGAGCGCAGGAGCCTGTGAGTCTGGGCTCAGGGTCCCTCCTGTGCTGGGAGAGATGCGTGAGGAGTGGTCGCTGAGTAGGAAGGAAGCGGAGGCTGGAGCTGTTTCTGGAAAGGCCCTGGGCTGCTTGCTGCCTGTGGACATGGTCAGCGTGTCCTGTCACCCAGCGCTGCCGTCATGAGCCCTCGCACCTGCCGTGTCACAGCGGAGCTGGTTTCCGCGCTGCCTGGCGGCTGCCGTGGCCACCTCCACGGGTCTCCCCCGGGCAGCAGGTGGCGGGCCCTTGTCTCTCCCCACGGCACCTGTGCCCACACGACACCTGTGCCCACACGACACCTGTGCCCACACGGCATCTGCCCACACGGCAGGAGGTCCAGCACCAGCTGGTGTTCAGGGAATGGACCAGCCCCTCGTGTGTGTTTGTGCGTGTTCACATGTGTGTTTGTGCGTGTTCGCAGGAAGTCCAGCCCCAGCTGGTGTTCAGAGAATGGACCAGCCCCTCATGTGTGTTTGTGCGTGTTCACAGGAGGTCCAGCACCAGCTGGTGTTCAGGGAATGGACCAGCCCCTCATGTGTGTTTGTGTGTGTTCATAGGAGGTTCAGCACCAGCTGGTGTTCAGGGAACGGACCAGCCCCTCATGTGTGTTTGTGCATGTTCACATGTGTGTTTGTGCGTGTTCGCAGGAAGTCCAGCCCCAGCTGGTGTTCAGAGAATGGACCAGCCCCTCATGTGTGTTTGTGCGTGTTCACAGGAGGTCCAGCACCAGCTGGTGTTCAGGGAACGGACCAGTCCCTCATGTGTGTTTGTGTGTGTTCACATGTGTGTTTGTGTGTGTTCGCAGGAAGTCCAGCACCAGCTGGTGTTCAGAGAATGGACCAGCCCCTCATGTATGTTTGTGCGTGTTCACAGGAGGTTCAGCACCAGCTGGTGTTTCAGGGAATGGACCAGTCCCTCATGTGTGTTTGTGTGTGTTCACATGTGTGTTTGTGTTCACATGTGTGTTTGTGTTCACGTGTGTGTTTGTGCGTGTTCACATGTGTGTTTGTGCGTGTTCGCGTGTGTTTGTGTGTTTGCGTGTGTGTTCACATGTGTGTTTGTGCGTCTTCACATGTGTGTTTGTGCGTCTTCACATGTGTGTTTGTGCGTGTTCGCAGGAAGTCCAGCACAACTGCCAGCTGCACCGAATATCGTTCTGCGCCGACGACAAGACGGACAAGAGGATCTTCACTTTCATCTGCAAAGATTCCGAGTCCAATAAGCACCTGTGCTACGTCTTTGACAGCGAGAAGTGTGTACGTATGCAGGG